CTAACTGCTAATTATGTTTCTCTTTGATAGGAGGAACTGGCCAGAGAATAGTTGAATTTCTTCAGACAGCACTGAAAGTGAAGGGCAGCTGGTACTGCCATTTTTACTAGTCAAGCCATCAATCATATGTTGGTAACTTGACTGCTGCCCATACTTGCCCTTCATTTTTCACATTTTTTCTAAAAACATCCCAAATACGATATAGGACCTGACTGAAGTGTTGCTTGCCTGTTTAAAATGCATTTTTACTCTTCAAATCTGGAATTCAGAACTGAAGACAATATGAAAACAAGAATTCATTTCACAGTTTACTGTGTACGACTACCCCGAAAAGCAGTACTTGTATTGGTCAGGCCAAGTTTCTGTCTGGCCTGGTGTGCTGTTTCAGACAGTGGAACTAGTGAGCGTGTAGGGTAGGTAACAGATGAAGTATGTGGTGATGTCCCTGTAGAACTCTTTATTGAATGTGTAGAACAGACATTCAGATTTTCCATTTTGGGCATCTAACATCTATGCCAAATTGCTTAAAAAATATTTTGGTGTCTCCTTCATGTGAGCAGTTCTTCAATAGGACAGTGTGCTTGACTGACTTAGCATGATTTTGCATTTGAATTGGAAAACTTCAGCCTACTCTCTTACTAGTAATACAAAGTTTCTCTGATTCCATTCCTAGTGGAATTGAATGATTTATACTCTGATTCATGTGGTATTTTTTCACCTGCTGTATTTCTTAAAACTCTTTATAATCTTTTCATGGAATCATTAAGGTTGGAAAAGACTTCTAACATCATCTGTCCACCTACCACCAAAATTAACCCCATTAATTACTTTAGTTAAGTACCAGTATTCTGCTTCCTTGTTAGTTTAGAATGAACTCTTATAGAAATTCCCACTATTCCAACAGTTTCTGCAGTATTCCTCCAAATTTCTTTATTCAGGCATGTATTGAAACTTCGCCTCAGCATCTGATTTTGGGAGTGCTTTAAAGCAGGCTGCTATCCAGGGTTCGAGTTCAACTTATGTTTTATTCCAGCTCTGTTCTTCTGCCCCAGTGACACCTTTGTGTCACTGATGCCTGCATGGCCTGTCACCACCTCCCAGAATTTCTCAAGAGACCTCTGATACGTTTTGAGGGTGGCTGCTTTTGTAGCTGTCATTTAAGTTGCCATGCAGTTCCTCTTTAAATGCAATCTACTTTCTGACTCACCCATAATTCCTGCCCTGTGATTTTTCTTTCAGCTAGGTTACTGTTTCAGAAAGGGTAGATATAATACTGTCCTGCAGTATTTATTCCTTTATAAAACTGCTCTTCTATTGCCTTTGCACTCGATTAAGTTTACGTTTTGTATGTGATTTGCATGTTCTCTGTTTTAGTTGAACTCTGGAGGGCATTGCAGGCCTAGCATGTTAATTACTCTGTATCTCTTTTCTGCTTTAGGGAAGATAGTGGACTAGATGTGTTTTTTTGCTTTGTTTTGCTTTGTTTTGTTTTTCTTAGCTCAATCAGTGAATTCTTATTTCCACTTCTCTTCAGAAACGTGTTTGCACCTGTCTGTGTCTGGGTTTTTCTGAATTATAGGCACATATTGCAGTGGATTATCATCAACAAAAGCTTCTAACAGGATATGTAATGTTGGTGATGGTGTTTTTTTATTTTATTTTATTTTATTTTATTTTATTTTATTTTATTTTTAACTACAGCAGCTTGTAAATAGGAGATGTAGGGAGGAACAGTTTTTGCCTAGTATTATTGTCCACGTGTGACATCCCATGGAGATATCCCATTTCAGCCTCCTGAGGGCAGTCTATCCCATGGTATTATTAGGTCAGAATTTGGTTAATGTATCTGCATTGTTCTAGGAGAGTGTAGATACAAAGGCATGCGTAGATACAAAGTTGATACTGGTGTCACTGTTAGCAATTTTGTAAAATCCATATCCTGAACTGTTCAGGGGTGTGGGGCTTGATTTTGAAAAATAAATGTCAGTTTATTGAAATTGAATTATTTCAGTGTTGAGTTCAGTGAAATTTGAATAAGAGGTGGATATCTAAATCCCCACTTTCTAAGTGTCTTGACTACATTATTACCCACAGTTAAAACACATATTGCAATGATCCTCTCTCGCTGTTGATCTGTTTTCCTCTTTTGAAGTGTTGCATAGTTTGAGAGCTTGTATTGCATGAAACTGAGGGGATGTTGCCTGTTGCAGTTATGTGGCTGATTTCATTTTATTTTTTTTCTTTTTTTCTTTTTCTTTTTTTTTTTCTTTTTTTTTTTTTAAGTATAATGCAGTTCATTTAAGTAAAGCTGATGACAACAGAACTTTTCAATACCAGCTGCACCACAGGTAATGAATCAGTGCTTGAAAAGATGGGGCAGATGTAGTGGTGGAGAGAAGTCTTTGGCTGTGCTTATTGCTTGAAGTCAGAACTCTGCTAAAGTCCAGACTATATTGTATTTTCATCACAATATGCTCAGCTTCTGACTGTAGGTTTTACTGAAGGTTCCTTTTTGCTGTAGATGGTAACTGAGTAACAACAGTTACCTGTTCTTTGACTGACATCTTTAGGTAAGCATGACCACATGTTCTAGATGATTAACATGCAGTGAGTTTTATTGATGAGAAGTGTTTTATTCAGTAGTATTTAGATGAAGCTGTCCAGGAAGAACTGTTTGCATCGCAGAAGTAATAAGCTTAGTTGTTACCTTTAAAGAACATTGCATTTGAGCTCCCCTTACTGTGTTATCTTTTGTAAGCAGGAGCTGCATTTCTGCTACAGGAACTGCTGAGCAATGCTCTGCTATGTCAGCTTTCTCGACTAACAAATCGAGCTTAACGCCACCTACAGGAGTTTGGTTCTGAATTCTGACTTGACATCATCTGAACTCTGACGCAAGAGCCCTGGCAATGCACTCATCAGTTTATTTTTTTCCATTTACAGTTCTGCATTCTTGTTTCATCTTAGATCTGAATGCTGCTTGCCCTGCACAAAATTAGGTAACTGATGTGTTTGTCCTTGGAATTAGTGATGAGAAACACTGTTAGAACCCATCTCCATTCTTAGGATGCATAGGCTGACCCAAAATTTATTGTTCCAGAATGAAGATAACTTCCTTTCCTTGTACCTGTTATATTTTGCAAGCGTTCAGTAAGCTCAGAATTGATTCATTCTTCTGTTAGACTTCTTAACTATTTCTGAGGGAAACAACTAATAGAACCTTTTTAGGTTTGGAAATTTAAATTGTGAAATTACTTTTAGTTTTAAATTTCCTAGGGGAAAATGAATTGAACCCATTCTTACCACAGTTCTCTCTTGTCCAATATTTAAGGTTGGCTGGAATATTAAAAGTTATTACAAGACAAGGGATGTCTAAAGAGATACCAAAAAGATCCCCTGGGTTATATTTTGGCTCACTGGAAAGATGTTGCTGGTGAACCAGGGGGAACACCGGGGAAGAAACCAGGAACATAAATGAAGTAACAGGACCAGAAAGGGTTAAGGGGAAAAAAAAAAAGCGAGTTTGAGATGTTAGAGCTTGTGATCTGCTGAGACAGATGGGTGCTGGCACGAGAACACCCCCCACAGAGATCTAGGAAGCCAAATATCCCAGTGTTAGCACTGGAAGCCTTGGGGGGAGGTGAAACTGAAATATGTTAGTTAAGTGTTTCAATTGTCAGCAGCTGGGGACTTTGGACTCATCAGACTTCTTTTTGTGCACAAACTGTAAGGAGTGGTCTCTGCAGCTGAGGAAACCTTAGGCACATTCAGTGTTTTCAGTGTGATAAAACCCTTTTGGGATGCATTCTGATACAAAAAGATGCTCATTAAATATTGTAATCAGTGTCCCTGTATAAATTAGAGAGCAGGGAGAAATGGCCCGTTAATGGTACTCTGAATTACAACATCCTGTCGCAATTAATGTTGTTCCTGAGAAGGGAAGGTAAATGGGATGAAATGGAGTCTGCAAATATGTTTACCCTTAAAAATCTTTACCCTTAAAAACCACCCCAAATGGCAACAGGAGTGTGAGCTGGGACCTCCCCCAGACCCTACAATATTAGCCCTGGGAAAGGAACGTGAAAGAGAAGGGTTTGACCAGCTCTGTGATATTGCTCTGTGTGCAGTATAGGACAAAGGTGTGCAAAATTAGAGAAAATGAGGATCCCTGAGGAATCGCCAGAACATTGTAAACCTCCAGTGAGAGTTAAACAGAAGGATGAGGAGAGTGACCAAGAGATGAGGACCCCTCCTGACAGCCCAATGTCTGCATGAACAGTCACTGAAAGATAACTCCATTGTGGTAAGCAGTGGGAGCAGAGGGGAACTCTCATCGTTAATCATTGTGCAGTTTTCCTCCTTTGACCTGGAAACATGGGAAGGAGTGGCAAAAGCATACCAAAATGATACCGTTAACGTAACCCATCGCTTTCAGTTTTTGATTAAGCAACATAACCCCGACTGGGCTGACATCCAATTGTTCTTAGATTGTATGACAGAGACAGATACTTTTAAAGCCAGCACAGGATTTGACCAGTGACAGCCTGCAGGAAGAAGGGCAGGATATTAAGGATCACTTCTCCCTTTGCAGGACCTGCATTGGATCTTAATCGAGCTGCTGGGTGGGATCTTTCGGTTGCTTATAGGGGATGGATTGTGAAGGGAATGGAAAGGGCCATTCTGAAAATGATCAACTGGTCAGCCCTGTCTGTAACAAGACAGGGTCCACAGGAATCCCCATCTGACTTTTTGGACAAATTATGAACTACCATGAGAAAGCATTATCCTTGAGACCCAGGGTCAGAAATAGGGGTACAAATAATTTCCTTGTTCATCAACCAGGCTGCAGATGACATCTGATGAAAGCTGCAGAAATTGAAATTGTTAGAGAGCAGGAATTTGAAAAATTCGGTAGGTGAAGCATGGAGGATGTATAGTAATAGGGAGGAGGAAGAAAGGAAAAAAGAGAAAAGGATGTTGGTTTGCAAGAAGCTGGGGAAATGAGAGCTTGGACAGAGGAGGCCCCTGAAGAAGGACCAGAGCGCCATCTATCGACAGCGAGGAACCAGTGTCAGGCAAAAGGCAGAGAAGGGAGGGAGGACGGGCTCAAATGCGTTCCCCTATTAACGAGGAGTGATGCGGACCTGGGGAGTCTGTCCTCGCGGATCCACTGGTTAGAATGAGGCTAGGGGAAAAACAACTGGGCCTTTAAAACTGCAGATCCAAAAGCAGCAATATGGGCTCTTGTATTTGTCAGAAATCTGAATTTGAGAAGCGTGGCTTTTGACACAAAAGCTTATGTGTCTCTTGTGAAAAACATTGCAAAGTATACTAAGATCAGCAGTTGTTGGGTATGTGGTCAAGTCAACAATTTCAATTCTCCACTTCTTGGAGTTCCTATGAATAACTGGATGGAGGTGAATCCATCTGAGATGCACAATACCTTGTACCAATGTAAAACAGGAAATTCCTCCCTAGAACTAATATCTTTTAGGATGATTTTGGTAAACTCTTCAACACTGTAATACCTCAGGAGGATAGTTAGGGCAGCTTAACAAAACTGGACTGAGGTAACTGTGGTTGAAGGTAGAGTGGCTGAGGGAAATCAGCCAACAAATTATACAAAAGGAAAGAAGATGGGCAGACTACCTGTACAGCAGGAGCACTACCCAGGTGACAGGAGCAATAAGCATGTCATGTGTATTGTGGTTGTGTAGAGATTCAAGAGCCTGAAAACTGTGACCAATGCAATTGGACAGGGGATTGTGCTACATGTTATCTGTCTCCTCCATCACAAATGTTTCTTACCCATAGCATGACTGGCATTGCACGAGGTGTTTGGAGGAACTTTAATAAGCGTTCTGTCTCTAATTCCCTGATTAGATATAAGGCTGGATACCATAGTTCTGCTAGAGTTTTGGTTCCCTCTTTAGGTGTAGCAAAGCTGGAAGGGGCTACAGTGAATATTACAGCAGAAATTTAGGTAATTTAGCAAATTCAACAGCTGGAGCTCTTTATCACTTGAACTGGAAGGTAAACTCATTGAAAGGGGTGGTCTTTCAAAACAGGTTGGCTTTAGGTATAATAATGGCTCATACAGGAGGCTAAAGCAGCTATTTGTAGCAGTAGTTGTACTGTGAGGTTATCCTCATAGTGATAACCTGCACAGGATTGCAGTGTTCTTTCTGGTGCTGTTGAAAAAGCCTATGTGATTATGCCACCTGTAACAGGCATCGTACGAGCCACCAGGTGGAATCTGGAAAGTACTTCAGAATGGCATTAATGTACAACAGTGCTCCTTGAGAAAAAGATTGTCATGGTTTTATCGTTTTTCATTATTGGTATTCCACATCATGACATCATGTAGGGTACTGGGAGGTAGAGAGTTAATGCTCCAGTTCCATGGATCATCGATAGTTCCAGGTATAGCTGTCTCAGAAGGGAAGAGCAACTACATATCCTGTAGGACCTTGCATTTCCGTTTTCCCCTCAGAGAGTAAGATGAAACCTGTCTGCAGTGTCACGAGATGCCCCTATTCCCTTTCTGCTCATCTCAGTAGTGTGTGCTCTTACATGGCTCAGCTTCAGCATTAGAGTAAGGCCTTTGGTTTTTGAACACTCCCATTTTATTTGATTTATTAGTTTCAATTGTAATTATATTGTATTATACTGTGTTATCTTGCATTCTGACATTACATTTAGTAAATTGGCTTTCCTCCTCAGATCTTTGCTGCTGTTTTGTTTTTAGGCCCACCTCCCTACCCTTTTCCTTTTTCCCCTTTTCCCAGGGCATGGACCTCCCTGCTCCATTAGTCATGGAACCGGGCTTTTTTCCCCCCTCATGTTTAATAGGAAGAACTTCCCTTAGAATTTGATGTGACCAGAATGGAAATCAAATGGAAGAGTAGAGCTCATCTTCCTTCTAATTATTTTCCACCAGGCACTAACATGTCCAATACAATTTTTGCAATTCATGGCTCAGGAATGGGGAAAATATGAAGAACTTTCTTGTATTATCTCGTGACAACTTGTTACTGTAAAGTAAACTGCAGAGTGCCTGTAATATCTTTCAAGAAGGGATTCTTTCTTAGGGGACTGCTTCATGAAAATCCTGTCTTTTTCAGAAACTGGTAGCAGATGTATTTATGTCAAGAGATCACTTCTTGCTGCTTTACTTGCTTTTGGTTTGTCTTCACATTAGGTGGGCTCTACTTATTTAGAAAATTCCATTTACTTATTTAAGTGATTAATGGTTTTGGATGTTCTGCTCATTGTTTGGCAGCTGTTTAAGTATCAATAAAAACTTAGCCTCTGTCTTCTCTCTCTATTGTTCCTGTTTGGTAATATAAAGGAGAAATTCTTAGCAAGAACCAGTTCCTAATGTTCAAAAGCAAATGAGATGCAGTCTTAGGGGAAACAAGAACGCTTATTAGCTTCATAGTTTAATTATCCTGTTCTGTCTTTCTGTTTTCTGTAAAGAGAGGATATCCCTGTGACACGACTTTTCAGCTGGTCAATAGCTTTAAACAGTATTTGGCTGGAGTGCAGATGTGTTGTAAAGCAGGGTATCCTTTTCATTCTTACTGCATTTTCAGTCAACTTAAATTAACAGTTTAGAGGTCATCTCTTTAACTTCACTTCATGCTGTGTTACTTGTTAGTAGCTAAGGATTTTGCTCTCTTTCTAGTACGAGATTTTCAGAAACAGTGTTTACATTCCCAGAAAGCATGGAAAAAACCCATTAGTTAAACCTACTGAGAATGTTGTAAGACAGTACTATGAAATTGACATGATTTTTTTCTCCTTTATCTATTGTCATTCCCTGGAACTTTTCCAAGAATTGAGCCTGAAAGTACTAATGCAATAAGATTGGTAGCAGCCTGAATCTGATATATGGAATTCTTACACTAATTAGCAAAATGGATTGAGGCTTAGATTTTTGATAGCGTTAAGTTTGGATGAAGCTGTATAAGAACAAATTATTTGGTGCAGAATTCGTAAGTAAAAGCTTTTATTGACAGCAAAAGCATTAATCAATTATAAAACCAACAGTAAAATATCCGGGCCAGTTGCTTTTAAATTGTGAAGTGTGCAACTGCCAATCTGTCAGTTCATCTGGGTCTGGAGCTTTTAACCCATGCAGCACAGACGAACTGACCCTTTTGATAAGGGGAAAATTGTGCTTAAATTACGGTTGAGTTTCCATGAGAGCTCTAAGACTGATAAGACAAGTATCTGGCGTGGAATCTGTTTCTTGTAGTTGCTGCATTTCTGCTGTGTTTTCACCCTGTTTTGTTTCTCTTGATCGCTGAATGTAAACTTGCATGCCTACATCTTTTTTTTTTGCAACCAGGAGTGAGAATGCCTCCTCCAGGAACATAATTGTCATGGCTTTTTGTAATCCAGTACTCACACTGCAAGATGCTGTGCAGGTACAACATTAGCCAAACCCATTTCCTACACTTTTCACTTGCATATTGCTGAAGGGGAACTTCTTTCTGTTACTTTGTCTGTGGTTCTAATTCCATGTGGAATTTCTAGCAATAATTGTACACAGAGAGTAGTCCTAAAAAAGGTCTCATGCAATCCAGGCAAAATTTCTGGGGAAAGTCATGTTTAGTAAGACCTGAATACTGTTGTATGCCTACAAAAGCTTGGCTTTTTCGTGTCACCTCCAGGATTCAGTGCAGAATATTTTTTTGCCACTTAACCCCAGAAGTATGCAAATGTGTTGTGGGTACCTACTTTCCTCCTTAATAGTAGGGGTATTTTAACACCACTCAGTAGTGCCAGATTTTAAGATCTAATCTGTGAACTTTCACAGAATTTAGTTGTTCCTTTCTTGTTCTTTCTAAGGTGTTGTTTAGAAAACAGGAAGCTTTCCCCACTGACCTGATCCTATGTCTGAATAGTGGATGACTTCAAAACCAAAATTCTCTGTTTTAGTTCAGAATGAGAAGTATTTGAATCAAGACATGGTTCTCAGTCTGTTACTGCTAAGAGGGTTCCCTGCATCCTGTTGAAGTGTCATCACCACAGAGTGGAAGTTGGTCATATTACAGGCAAGGAGGATTGTTCTGAAAGTCTGAGAGCACATGGTTGAGTCAAGTGAAAGATTATGTTTCAGAAGTTACCCCTTACAGTCCTGCAGTTTCCTGGAAGAAACTGTTTGTGTAATCTAACATCTTGCCCAAAGCAGGGCTGTCATTGAAGCCAGACCAGTTTGCACAGGGCCGAGTTTCAATTAACTCCATAGATGAAGATGCTGCAAACAGGCTGTGGTTGGCTTTTTCAATACTCAAATAGTTACATGATGACAACTTTTACATGTTTTCCATTTTGCAATTTGTCCTCATTGCCTTTGATCTCCAAGAAGAGTTGTGATTTCTTCTCTGTAACAAATGGTCATGTAACTGTAGATAAGAGCTCCCAATGGGCTTCTTTAAATTTCTTATTCATTTTGTTAGTAAGCATCTTCCTCTGAGGTAATACTGAGAAACAAAAGTGTAACTTGGGTTGCAATTGAGAGGCAGTAATGTTCCCAAACCTTCCGTAATTAGATCTTAAATGGTTTAAAAAAATCTTATGTCTAGCTTTGGATGTCAAAATGTTTGGAACTTGATGATCCTTAGGGTCCCTTCCAACCAAAGCCATTCTGTGATTCTTTGATCTGCAGCTTCACTGGGCAACCTGTTGCAATGCCTCACACCCCGAGTAAAGAATTTCCTCCCAATATCTAACCTAAATGTCCTCTCTTTTCATTTACGGCCACTTTGCCTTGTTCTGTCACAGTGTGCCTGTGTGGGGGAAAAAAGTCTGTCCTCTTCCTCTTTTTTAAGCTCCCCTCAAGCAGTAGAAGGCTGCAATGAGATCTTCTTTGAGCCTTCTCTTTTCCAGATGCACAAGCCCAGCTCTTTCAACCATTCTTCAAAGGAGAGGTGCTCCAGCTCTCTGAGCATCTTTCTGGCTTTCCTCTGGATCATGGAACTTCAAGTTCTGATAAAACATTCCTGGTCAGAGTAGGCAAGCCATTTTATTATATGGACATGCATGGGTTTAAAAGGGCTAGCAAAGATCTGTGTAATCTGTGTAATTTATTCCGTATCTTTCTTATGATATCTGAAAGCATCATTTACAATTAAAATCCATCAGAAACATGTTGGATGACCCTGTTGTACATCTTTCCTGGCCTCAGTTAGTGGGGGTATCAACTGTAGAATTGATTTTTACCTTACTGTATTTTTCCTGTAATCTGTTTGTCAGTGCCTGTAGCTCATTCTTTCCCTGCCTTTTTCATAAAACCCTTCAAGATATCCTTGGAATGAGAAACACTTCTAAGGTGCAAGTCAAAGTCTGAAGTTCAGTGTTGTTGAAGAGCACCAATGCTTAAGTTCCCTGTTTACTACAGGCCTCTCTTGCTTCAGTTCTGAAAACGTCAAGCACCAACTGCAGGCCTGACAAGTGGCTGGACATAAGTGATGTGCCCTATAATCTGTTCAAAGCCTCTTGTACAGTAACACTTCTGTTTCTTTGAAACCACAAATCTTTTTGGTTTGTTTGTTTGTTTCTAATTTTGATGGATTATGTTTCTGGGAATTGCCAAATGTGGTTTTTTCCTTTTTATTTTTTTATTTTTTATTTTTCCTCTCAGTAGTATATAAGTTTCTCTTTTTGTGTTGGTGTGTTATTCACACACTGATTGAGAATGCTATTAGTTGAATTGTTCTGTAGAACAAATTGCCCATGGAAATACTACACACAATAATGCTGTTTGTATATACAATATAAGCTTTGCTTATCTTATATTCTAATTATACTATTTTTTTTTTTTTTTTTTTGCATTATGGCTTCCCTAAGGCCAGTGAAGTCACATAATTCAGAATTACTAGGACATCCTCAGCAGTCTGCACGTTGTGAACGAGTAGGCCAGCTCCTGAAAGTCATTCTCATGGGGGACCTATCAGAAAACTCCATGGGGAAAAATGCTGGCAGTTGCTAATGCCTGGGAAATGGGTTATTTAATACGTGGCAGAGGTAAAAGAGCCCAAGGAGAGCATTTCAGTAAGAAAGGGAAGGAAACAGCCTGTAGGCATGCTGAGGAACTGGAGGGAGGGAGTTCTCAAAATATTTTGTCATGTTTCTGGCTGTTATTCTTTTCTCAGGAAGAAAGGTAGAGTGGTTGTATAGGTGCTTGTCTGCAACTTGCCTGCTGTCATCTAAAACATTTCGTATTTATCTACTTGCACATTCTTTTGGAGCAATTCCTTTGAAGTTATCAGGTATTAAGCATTATTTGAGTAATTGTAGTAAATTTTAGTTTGTAATGCTTTGAAAGCTAAGTAAAATTGTCTCTTGGACATCACCAGTATTGCTTCTGCATTGCATAACAGTGCTGTGCTGATACAACCCATCTGACTACAGTGAAATAATGCTTACTTTGCAGTGTTTAGGATGCAGGACTTAATCAGCCCATATTTCTAAACTTAATCTTCAAGATAGGAACAAGTATTTGTTCTGGTTTGTTTTATTTTCCTGAGCAACAGCTTTTGTTTATGTATGACCAGTACTGCTCAGTAACAGCATCCTGCACGTATTACAGCGCTGTCACTGTGGTTAAGGAAACTGTTAAAAGCATGGCAAAGGATTGCTGCTCATGGCATGCTACCGTGCTGCACTGATCTGTAACAATAACTCAGTTACTGAAGTATTGGCAAGTGTATCAATGGCTGTGGTAACCTAAGCATAGTGTAAAAGTAGCAACATGGTAGTGATCTTGAGAAAACAAATTATGTCTGCTTCCTGCTGAGGGTGCTGATCAACTCAGGCTTGTAAGATGCTGGATACTTGTCTACTTTTCACCACCCCAGCAGTGAAAACAATTGCTTTACTACTTACACACATAGTAGTTTTGTACTACAATTTCAATTGGTTCAGTTTTAATATTAAATTTTACTAGCAGACACAGTAAAAATAAAAACCAACCAACCAAACAAACTTCAGGGCATGTTTTCAGAGGTTCATGTTCTTAAACTTATAAGGGTAATAAGATCCCTGTTCCTGATCTTCTGTGCAGAAGCTCTTGCACAAGAGATAGTGGGTTGAGTTTCCCCCAAGTTCAATGCTAGAGTTAACTGAAGCCCAGAGACGCAGGTCTGTCACCGCTTCTGAAACTGCTCTTCCATCTGTTCTGTTGTGAGAATGCTGATCCTGAAGGAGAATATGAGCTTGAAAGTGCAGTGATTTGAAATTACAGTTGATCTAATGGATATATTTCTGTTGCATTTGTAGTGTTTAAGACAAATAGGCTTTGTTTGTTTGTTTTTTCCCACCCACGATGGTAAGATAATTCAGCAGAAACTTTTAATAAGCTCTTATATTTTATTCCAGTGCTGCTGTTGTCTGTAGAGAGTAGAAATAAGCTTTTTTACGTAGTTCACATTGTCTGTGTTATTAAATCTGCAGAATTTAATGAAATTTTAAATTCCAAGCAGTCTCTCTGTCAAGCTTCTTATTTTTTACGCCACTAGGTGGAGGAAGACGGTTAGCAAAGCTGAGTCCTGGCGCTAACAGACCAGTTATCCGTGATCGGATCTGCTCCTTGTCTTCCCGAACAGCATAGTGCTAATCTGCCACAAATAACATTTAATACATTTCTTTCACGCTATCCAAGCATTTCCTAAAGTGGATTTCGTTGCAAGTAATTACACTGCATTTATAATACTATTGAAATTGGATGGTTCACCTGTATTTCTTGTACTGATGGTTCCTTCATCCTGCTGTCAGTGAGTGCTTTGGTTTACTATCTTGTCTCTGAACGGTGCTTCAACAAAAGCCCTAGGAGGTGCTTTAAGCCTAATTACAGAGCCCTTATTTACACTGCTTGTATAAACAGCTATACTCGTACTCCCTCAAATAGTCCCAGCGAGATCAATGCTACTGTTAACAGGAGAAAGTAAATCACAATCATGTCTCTTTTCCCCTTACTTGTCTACCCCTGGAAATCAGGGAATACAGTTCTAGAAGCTAGTTCTATATTAGCATAATGCTGGGCACTGCTTTTTTTCTTTCCTCCTGCCTAAAGCAAGGAAAAAGCCTTGGCTGCACTGTTCATAGAAGGGTTTAAGTGGTGAAGCAGGAGGCTGATTGCATCTGCATTCACTATAACGTATCAAAATGCGCTCATGGTTTATTTTCAGACATGCTATGGAATACCACAAAGTACACAAATATTCTCTGCCACTCACCTAGCACATTTGCAACTATAAATATATCGTTGCATATTTGGTAAACAAAATCTAAATAAATTGTGTTAGAATAGTATTGAATTATTGTGTCTTCACTGCTGCTTTAAGACCACCCTTGCTAGACCAATGTCTAAGAGCTTTCATGGAATACACAACACAATCTTAATGGAAAAAGGAGTTTTTTCTGATATAACCCTTTCAAAATACGCAACTGCCCTCTGCAGAGAAAACATTTTTATCCAATTTAATCTTTTATTTCATGATTCCTTCTTCAACTCCATTCATAGCAGGCAGTGAAGTTTATTTTTTGGAGGCTATCATAAAATTATTCACCTCTTTAATTCTAGGCAATGTGATTGGTTTATTTCCTTCTTAATTTCAAATTTGATTTTGTCAGCAAATGATACATTTTGGAAACTGTTGTTTTTTCTCAGTGTCTTAGAGTTTATGCAAGTCCTTGCCATGAAATGGCAAGGGCCATTTCATGGTATCAGAAGGAAAGAACACGCTGTCCTTCACCTCCTTGAGGTTTTTGTGACAGCACAGAATCTTGAGGCTTGGCAAGAGGAGTCTTTTGTAATCCCTGTGAAACAGCTTTATAAATGCTGGTATGCATGTTCTAAGAAGTATTTTTTGCAGCATGATTTCTCTCAGCTCTTGCTAGGAGTGGGACTATACCATTGCTGAGTAGAATTACCAAGCTTTGACTTACTCCAGGCCCTCTTTTCCCTTGCAGCAGAAAGCTTCCAGGGCTGTCACTGGAGCAGTACAAAATAGGGCCAGCGTAGGGGACCATAGGGTGAAGTATTTAAGTTCAGGAGGTGTAGCATTGTGTATTTATAGGCATTTCTGCCTCCTCTGTGTGAAAAGGAGGCATTGGCATAGGAAAAGGTTCACTGGAGGTTCTATGAAGCTAGTGAGCGAGTGTCGCACTCCAAGGAGAGAAATGTAGTACTTTTCTTAACAAATGGCCAGAAATAGCACATGAGAATTTTCTGTTGTTTCAGTGGGAGATGAAAAGTGTACTGAATCTTTAAAATCCATAAGCAGATAAATAAAATTCAGGTTCCAGCTGAAAATAATTGGGAGTAAGGAGTGTAGTAGAGCAATCATATGCTTTTTTAACTTTCTATTCTCGCTCTTCTTTAGACATCTACTTATGGATAAAAACCACTGTGCCACGTGGATCATCTGAAACGCAGTAGCGTTTATCTCTGTTATCTCTGGGGAAAAAAAAAAAAGGCTGAAAGAGTTGTTATTTAATTCCCTGCAGTTGTTTCTCATTACTTACAAATTATACCAGAAGTGCACATTACAACCAAGGGACAAAGCCACTGCTCTTGTTGATGTTCTCAAAACATCTCCTGCTGAACCAAGTGAACAAGAAATGAAAAGAGCACTAAAGCAGTAGATTTGGAATGAGGCTTGCGGTAGACTTGCACCTATGGAACGCCATGAAAGGATTTGTGTTCATTCTTCTCCACGCAAAATGGTTTGTTTAATTAAGTTTTTACATGTTTCTTGTCATAAGCTGCTTCAAGATGAAAAGTATTTTATTTGAATAGTTGATAATAGAGCTTTATAGTTAGTCACCTGATTTCTTGCAGAATAGCTGTTCTGTGATGCAAACTTGTTTTTGTAAGATTTCCAAACCATGAATCACTTATCTCATACCTTCGCAGGCTTCATTTAATTCACCTTGCTATTATTCTTTCTTACATGGCATTATTTTTTGAATTATCAAAAGGTGATTATGGATTTGTGTTAATGGTATTTGTTATTAACATTTGTTAATAGCATATTTGTTAATAGATGCAGATATTCTGGTCGGTCATACAGTGCATCCGTACTTCACCCTTTAGTTACTTATAACTCAGCTGTTACTGAGGATGGTTTCTGTTTCAAGATAGAGAGCCCTTCTGCACCTGAGCTACTGAATTGCAGTGCCATCCATTCATTACATTTTTCATCTTTCTGCTGTTCTGGATATTCTTCCCAGCTGCTGCAGTGAATGCAGACGTCTGCCTGGTAACGGGCTCCTTCCCATCGTGCTGTTCATGGTGTGAAAGGTGAACTAAATAAA